AAGGTTGAATTTGAACTGTCTAAAGTTACAATTGAAAGCACTATTATGATATTTGAGCTTCCTAGTGTTTTATTTGATCTCTCTATTTTGATGTTTGAACTTTCTATGTTGAATTTGGTTTGACTATGTTAAAAAGAAATTTGCTATGCTTTATGTGAACACTCTATTTTGATATTTGATCGGGAAAAGGTGTAGAAGAAGACGTTGTCTGTTGAGGCACAGACCCACATGTGGGGGGCTCTTGTGGCCTAGAGGTTAAGGTGTTGGCCTCTCATTTAAAGGTCTCGGGTTCGAATCCGGGTAGCGACCGAAACATTTTCTTCTCTAAAATTGTCTCCTTTCACCTCCTTTCCTGCTCTCTAGCATTGTTCTGTTGTCTGCTTTCATTTCCACTTTCTGCCCCAACCCCCTCACCTCATTTGCCCCCTCCTCTGGGCTCCTGACTCTTTCTGCAGCCTTTCTATTGCTACTCCTTGGCTCCTCCTTACTGCTCTTTCTGCCACACCCCTGATCTTCTGCTAGGAAAGATCTACACATAGCCTTCTCGGACAAAGGCGAAAAATCTTGGACGGCCCGTGTGCAAGTTTCGCACGTTAAAGATCCCTTGTTGGTCTAAAATCGATAAGAGTAGGCTTCGGCCGCCACCCGGGCAAAATTCAAAATTTCCTACTAACTGAAAATATTTGGTGTGTCCCGCGCGCTCATATGACCTTATGCAGTTGTGAGCGCGGTAAAACACTTACAAAAAAACAACAACAACAAACAAAGAACCACATGTAGCTAATGGGCGTGCACTACGAGGTTTGAGGCTGAAAATATACTGCAAGGCACAACTGAAGTGCAAGGCACAACTGAAGTGCACCGCACAACTGAAGTGCACCGCACAACTGAAGTGCACCGCACAACTGAAGTGCACCGCGAAACGGACGAGCTGCAAGGTCGGAAGTGGTGATCCCATAGGTCAGCGCGACTGTGTTCCCCCAAAAATGGCGCTGAGTTGGCGTATACAGCTCAGTGGTACATGTGTGTTTGTGAGTGTGTGTGAGTGTGTGTGTGTGTGTGTGTGTGTATGTGTGTGTGTGTGTGTGTGTGTGTGTGTGTGTGTGTGTTGCACCGAGAGACGACACTGCACTACCAGCCCTGGAAAAGACAAAAAGTTACAGATTCGTTAGACCTTAATTATGACTCGACCACCAATCAATTTCTCGGTTACCAGGAGAACACTGAGCTGGGTAAGACACACTACTTCCTGACTGTGTTAAAGTTAAACTGCGTCTAAGTAGCTGTCGGTAATTCGGTTACGTTCTTAATGCATGCAGAAGCACGATGGCATTGGCATAATAAAACTGTTCTCATCCCGAGATACTTGCACTTGCATAACTGATTGTTCCGGACAACGACCTTGACCAACCTGCCATTGGGGACCTGATTACAGGTTATAGCAAGACCCATGTGAAGTTGTCAGATATTCAGTTCGCGAGAAGTCTCATTGTTGACTCTTTCGTTTCTCTAGAAGAAGAATGAATAGGAATAGGACAGTTTGTTAGTTTCACTTTTACTGTTTTTCACATAAGTAGGGTAACTCTGTTCGCAAAGTCCGCACTTTTTCGAAGAGGGCGCCTCCGTATTTTGATGACACTTTTTTAATTGGCTCGAAGAGAGGAGTGAACGATCTTTGCTACAGGAGACATCTGGGACCTCGGTGAAGTTGACTGATAGTTCGCGAGAAGTCCCATTGGTGACTACAGAGGACACGTTTAAGACCCCGGTGAGATTGTTAGATAGTCAGTTCTCGAGAAGTCATGTTGTTGACTACACACACAGACATAAACAAACAGAGAGACACAAAACAAAAAGACACTGATCAAAACAAAACATTTTTTATTAAGATTATATTCATAACCCACCTCCCCCCACCCCGAAGAAAAAATATTGATTACTGATTACAAATTACACAGTATCTCCTCTTCAAATGATCACAAAGTCCCAAATCTTGTCAGTCAGTGTTGAGCGCTTAAATTAAACAACTGCTTGTTTTTATTTTATACCGAGAACGTTTTTGGGTGTTTTGGAGTCTGCTGGAGTAATAAATAATACGAGATTGAGGTAGCCATAGAGCACGGGTATGCGCCACATAAATAGTATTATTAGTATTATGATGATGATGATGATTTTTTTTTTCCTTAATGGGCCTGACGGACTCCACAAAGAAATCTTCGAGCGACAGCGAGGCTCTTTTTCGGCTCCATTGTCAACATGCTTAGCACCTCCACTCATCCAAATAACTCCTTTCGAATTGCCGTTGTTCCTGGACATTCAAACATGTTTGACATCTTCCTTTTCATGGCCGCATCTTCGGCAACATGGGCTGAACTCTTCATTTACAATGATGATGATGATGATGATGATGATGATGATGATGATGATGATGATGATGAT